ATAAATAATTATCCTCAAACTTTTAATTAATTTGTTAACTTTTCACTCAAATCAATAATTAACCAAATATCCACATAATTAAGAATTATCTCAAATTACTTAAAATACTACTCACTTTTAACACACCGTGTATACCTTACTATTATGGTCATGTGGTACCTTGTATGACACTAGTCCATAAATACCGGGTATTTTACCTTGGGCCGTATTTATTCCCGAAATGTCGAACTTCGACGAAAATCCATTTTCTTCGATTTACTTACCCTTTCACCTTCACGAATTTACTTATCCCTTATTTGAAATAGCGTAATACTTATAATCCCAAAATAATCTCATTACTGAGCTTACGTCGATTAACTTACGACGAAACTTCAACATACAAAAATGCGGGATGTAACATCTCATTTCCAAGCTTCCATCAATTTACTTATGGCGTACTTTCATGTACGAAAACATGGGGTGTAACAAAAATCCCCTCCAAAATCTCCCAAAACCGAGCTCTCAAACTCAAAATATGGAAAAGGAAATAAAACCCTTGATCTCCACTATTTCTTCCCAGGCTTTTCGCACCTGTGAATTATTTGGTCGCTTCTGCGATTCCGCATCTACGAAAACTATATTGTAGATGCGGCCTCAACTAAGGCTTAGGAAATATTTCTTATGCGAAAAAAGGGCGCACCTGCGCTTTCGCTTTTGCGGACCCCAACTCGCTTCTGCACATCCGCTTCTGCAAAATAACACTGCACTTGCGATCCATCAATACTCACCAGCAATCCGCTTCTGCGGACAACAACCGCATCTGCGGTCATGCATGTGCACGCATCTATCCGCACCTGCAGACCCAGTCCACTAAGTCCAAACTCGCATCTGCAGCTCATAGGCCATTTTTGCGGTAGCGCACCTGCAGCCATGCCATCGCAGGTGTGATTGCACAAGACTCCAGCGCTCTTCAGGCATTCCTTTAAAGTGCTAAAAGGTCCAAACTCAACCTGAATCATACCCGGGGGCCCCAGAACCCCGCCATAACATACCATCAAGTCACAAAATACGTAACGAACCTACTCGAGGCCTAAAATCACATTAAACAATATCAAACCTATGAATCACACCCCATTTTAAGCCTATTGAATAAATGGATGTTCAACTTGAAAAATAAATGTTGATTCATACCAAACCAATTCCGAATGAGCTCAAATTTTGCATGCAAGTCTCAAATGACACAACGGACCTATACCAACTTCCGAAATCACAATCCAAGACCGATATCAATAAAGTAAACTCTCGGCCAAACCTACCAACCTTCCAAGCCTTCAACTTTTTAACTTTTGCCAAAACGCCTCAAGACAACCTACGAACCTCCAAATTAATATCTGGACATACGCATAAGTTTACAATCACCATACAAAACTATTTGAACCATCAAATTTCCATTCCAGAGTTATTTACACAAAAGTCAAACTCCAGTAAACTCTTTCAAGTTATGCTTCCAACTTTGGGACTAAGTGTCCCAATTCACTCCGAAACTCACTCGAAACCAAACCAAACACCACATCAAGTCAATTGAACTTAGAGGAGGCAATAGATAGGAGAACGTGGCTAAAAATACTCAAAACGACTGGCCGGATCATTACAGAAGGTTGCCTACGTACCTCACATCCGATGAGGATCAAACCCGCGTAGTTCAGTATGATTTCAAAATAGAGGGGAAATGGCATGTTGAAAATTTTGGCTCATTTTGTAACAACCTCCTAAACATTTGGCTGAGTTTTAGAATTTTCTTTTTTTTTTCTTTCAAATACCAGGATTTTCAGGAATCGGGTAAATTTCTCTCTCCTATATTCTCTCTCTCTCTCTCTCCCTCCTTGATTTTTGTTCCCTATTCTAGGAGGCGGTCAACATGCAAACCAGATCAAATAAATGCACAAGTGGCATGTAAGAATGCATAAGGTTAGTATTTTATTTTTGAGTACACCTCTCCTAGATGGACCCAACCCATGTGTTGAGTCCCCTATTTCAAATGCACGTGATGCAAACATGCGTACCTACTAGGGATACAGAATGAGGCTTTATTCTTCTAGGTTTAAACCTAGTAAGGTTTGGAGTTTTAGACCTGGCTTACCCGAGAGGACAACTCAAGCCGGAGGGGGGNAGGGGTATGACACTTTAACAGAAATGATATACGCGTACATGCGCTCCCAGAAGATTTAGAGGACTCAGAATGTCACGACCCAAAATCCACGATAGGTCGTGATGGCACCTAACGCCGCTGTTAAGCAAGCCAACGGTGATTGATCAATTTAATTACTCATTTTATTACCTTTGAAATCATAAATTTTAATAAGGAAGGAAATTTACACTTTTAAATCCACGGGAACGTACAAAATTTGTAGTTTATGAGAGAAATAAAAGGCGATGATAATATACAGGACCGTAAGCATCAACTAGTATATCCTAAAATCCGGTGTCATAAGTGCATGGGCATTCACTAAGGAGTACAATAATAATACAATATCTTTCTAGAATGTAAATGAGACATGGTAAAAAAAATAGTACGATGGAGACTCTGTGGACTGCGATACGTGGCATGGAATGCAGCTCACATATAGTCTCCTAAACAGCTGCGCTTACGCGCCACAATGATCACAAAATGAACCTATCAGATCCTGCACATTTAGTGTAGAAGTGCAGCATGAGTACGTAAATCAACGCGTACCCAGTAAATATCTAGCCTAACCCCGTAGAAGTAGTGACGAGGGGTCGACATCAACACTTACTAGTGGTCCAATAGATCAATATGGTAAATCGTAAACAGATAAGAAGCACAACAATAGTAGTGAGGTAAATCTGTAACTAACACAATCTTCCAAAATTTCTTTTAACGATATCAATTTCTCAATCTCGTATTTTATCTCAACAGATCGAAAATATCAAGTGCCAATATCAAAAGGATAAGTAAATACCATATAAAGTGTCGGGCATCAGTGGAAGGATAATCTCGTGAACAATCTTACTGCTAGCGATATAACGCACGATTATGCCGAGGTCGTACGACCCGATACCATCGTTATGTGTACACTACCGAGGGTCGAGCAGCACGATCCATAGATGCATCTACTATAATACCGAGGTTAACGAACCACTCCCATAAGAGTAAGATACATGATCCTGCCAAGGCGTTCGGTCCGCTCCACAAGAAAGGAAAGAACCTTTTGAATTACGAGGCACGTGCTTACGATACAGTATATGAATACTATGTGAGTATAACCATTGCCGATTCTCAAATAACTTGCCAATACCTCAAGGTGATAACCTCGGCCTAATGTATATGTAATTTCTAAATCAAGTTCAATTATAATTTCAATTAATTAAGCCAGCAGAATGAGTTCAAATAATTCAAATATTACATGGTAAAGTCCTAAGTATACTCGAACATAAACATGCTTTAGCCACGTACGGACTCTCGTAACCTCGTGCGTACGTCGCACCCACAAAAAGTAGCACATAATAATTACATCACCTAGGGGATAGTTTTTCCCTCACAAGGTTAGACAAGAGACTTACATTGCTCCGAAGTTCCATAACTGACTCCAACGCCTCTCTAACACCTCAACTCCAAGCCAAACGATCCGAAACTACTCAAACAATATGCAATTCAATCAAAATATACTCAAATGCATATAATAAACAATTCCCAACTCCGCTAGAAAAGTCAATAAAGTCAACCATCAGGCCCACGTACCTAGATTTCGAAATTGTTTGAAGATAAATATTACCCATAACACCACGAACTCAAATATATAATTTATTCCTAATTCCATGTCCAATTTCGTATTATGTTTTGGGACTGGTTGGTGTGTTTTGGGACTGGTGTTGTGCATCGCGATCACGAAGAAGAAATTTGGGGCTGCTCGTTTGTGCTACATGATCGCGACTTGGGAACCGCGATCGCAGAGAAGGGAATGATTGACCAGGGATTTTGCCTTACGCGAACGCGGCTTTTGGTTCGAGAAGAAGGGTGTCGTAACACTTTTTATGTTCAGCTCACAAAATATCACGGTAAAGAGCGATATTTAGCACATTAGGCTCACACATATAAAATCAGACAATAAACAAGAAAGCCAAGTATAGAGTCATCTAAGCTCGAATTCTGAACCCTGAACCAGAAGTTCTGGGTTCATGTCCCCAGCAGAGTCACCAAAATTGTCACACCTCCTTTTTTTCGAAAGGAGTTTTTCCACTTTAAGTGATATTATTGAAAAGGGATTATTTAATTTAATTTTAAGAGTCGTCACTTGAAATTATTTATTACGGTGTTCCAAGCCACCAATTATTTTATATTCCATATCAAGGTAAGTTTGACTCTGTTTAAGTTTGCGAAACACAGAAGACCGTGTAATGAATTATATTAATCCGAGAGAAGGTGTGAGGCACTCCTGGATTTTGTGATATTAACAAGGTCGCTTTATTTATTTCAACACGTTTGAGATTGCTTGTGGAGTCCAAGAATTATAGAATTTCATTCGTGAATTCGCGAACTTTGAAACACTAAGGGCCTCCTTCATAACAAATACGAGAAAAGTTGAGAAAATAGATTTGGTAGATTAACAACTTATCTGTATTAATAAATGAATCCTCATTAGTTAATTAGTAGTGGCTTGTAGTTAAACTATATCTCTTCTTTTCAATTATTTAATTCTACATGGATTGTTATTGTGAAGGTAACATTATGGGCTAAATTTATTGAGTACCCAGATTGGACATCCAATAAGTCACTTGTGAGTACAAATGGGCTTCGGATTAAAGCCCAAGGCATCCTTTGAGCCTTTTGAGAACTAGGCCATGATGTAGACCTCTAAATGGACATGGTACTGAAATTAGCTAGGAGTTCAGAGTCCACATGACTCCAATCTGATTCTGCCACTTTGCTACGCCAGTTACTCTGGCCAATGGCCTCTGGGAACGAAAGCCTAGTGATTTACAACTCACAATTTCATACACCATTGCAAAAAATGAAATATGTATGAACTAATCTAAGCATGAGTACATGTTCATCCGGATTTAAAATTACAACACCAATTCACTACATCAGAAATCATGACTTGAATTTATAATAACAAACACTTTTATGAACTAACATCCTACATTTCTGGAATTAAACAATGTCATAACAAATAAGGTTTCAGATAATTAATTCATATCTCCTAATGCCTTTGACTCGTACAAGTTTAGACTCTTCATTCAACCTTCAAACTCATGTGCTGAAAAACTTCAGTGGCTACCAAACTCAAACCCGATCTCTAACAAATTTACTAAGTGTTCACAATCACCAATAACATGAAGATATTAGTTCTCAAATTGCTAAAATGTATCATACTAAGCTAAACAGATATCAATCTGTTACAATTAGCGGCAAATTTCCATTTTTACTCAAACACAAAAATATTATCACAAAACAGACTAGATTTGACTATGTAAAACATCTTATCTAAAAACATAAATCGTGCGAAGAGCAATAATGGATCTGGACACACATAGATCTATGAAGAACCAACATGATTTCAATTTATTTGATTTCAATTTGAGGAATTACAAACTACTTAAGCGTCAGCAACATGATTCAAGGAATGCATTTCAATTTCAATACCAAAACATGCCATATCATCATAAAACTAAATACATTCAGAGATCTATAAGAAGCAGTAGGTAAATAACCTTCAAAACTGAAATACGAGAGAGATTTAGGACCAAATAAAGGTCATAAAATTATAAGAGGGAGCTCAGCTACGAAACCACATAATCAACAGCGAATCAATAACAATTAATAAAGTATTTAAGATGGAATAACTCATTTGGAACCCAGCAAGTAAGGAATAATCGATCATAGGTGAAAACACTCTTCAAATCCTTTTGAAATCCTAAGTTTTCTTTTATTTTTGGAGTCTTTGATCTTAGATCTCTTTTTTGAATTTTTTAACTTTCGAAATTTTTGGTTTTCAGTTGTTTTTGAATACCGCTGAATTTTCAGAGTGAAATGGGTGTGCGCGCGAATTTTTCAGACTGTGAATACATGCCCAAATTGTGAGGAGGAATGCCTTATTTATAGATTATTAGTTAGGTCTCTTTTGAACTTTTTCTTTTTGTTTTACCCCTCTTATTTCAAGTTTTTACTCCGACAGTCCCTAATAGCACACCCTTCTACATCTTCTTTGCAAATTAATCATTTTCCACACCTTCCTAGAAGTTTCCTAAAAGATTCTCTAAGGGTGAAATTCCTTAATTATCCTTCAAGTATTTACCAATTTTCAGAAATTAGCTATCTTTTAACACAATTACTAGTCTTATTTTACTACATATTTCACTAAATTTCTGGCAGTGAGCCTTGGGCCAAAAGAATAATAGGCCATGTCGACCTGGGCTCAAAGCCCACTGGTCTTCTATATTTTTGATAAGTCTGTTAATGATCTAGCCTAATTTCTTTTAAATTTGAACCAAACTAACTAAGACAGTATTTAAACACTAACAAAATATATGAAAAATTAACAACAAAAATCGAAAATAAGCTAACTCATAAACTAATTAGCTAACACATAATCGAACTAACAGAAGAATACTCTTAACTTCTAATGCTATTTGATCAATAATTAAAACATGCGATTATTCACCTATGAATCAAAACAAATGACAACACATAAAAAAGAAAAACGTAGAAGAATAGGAGGGAAGGGTATACCTAATGGATCAAACGGGCTGTCAAGAGGAAATTCCGACGAGCCAGAGGATTGCTACACAAGCTCCAACCGAAATTTGTCACGCTGGCCAATGCTATATGTAGAAATAGGTCCTGCATGCTGGAGGTGAAGAACGAAGAAGCTTTGAGAGGACTGGACGGTCAACTAGAATTTGACCGGGACCCGATGGCCATGAAATGAGACGAAACCACCACCAATCGCCAGTACTCATCAAGAGATGTCGATTGGTGTGAATTTTAACCTCAGACGGGGTAAGAATTGAAGAGGAATCAAGAAAGGGGCAGTTTCAATTTTTCTTAAATTCTCAGATCCACTAATCATGGAGTTTGGGTGGATTTTTGAGGAAATGGTTGACAGATTAGGGATGAGGAGGAGTGAGAAGTATCTGGTGAAAATTTTGGGCCACCACCGTGAGGCAATTTTTGGCGGCGGTCAGACGATGGTCCACGGTGGTATGAAGGCGGAGGGGGGACAACGGGCGACGAAAGCAATTTTCGGCCGCCCAAGAGAGATGAGAGAGAACGGGGATTAGGGGTGGTTTATAAATATTAAATTTTTATCAATCGTTTTTATTAAAAAGGGAAAAACAATGAAATGTCATAGCTATGTTGCGAGACTACGTTGTTTAGATGGTCTGATGGCAAGATTGTTTGGACAGGGTATTGGATTGGACTGGACGGGTATTCTTAGTAAAACTGGGCCCAAAATCGTGGCCCAATCTCATTTTGAGCATAGCAACCATATCCTTCCTTCTTCTTCATTTTACAATTAGCCACCAATTAACTAACATACCATTTGAAAAATTAGCCTACTTACTGATTCTATCTAATGATTTACTATAAAAATTATAAATTATCCTACTAATTATATGAGTAAGTAGGCCCTAAAATGTAGAGTTAATAGCTAATATATTTTTATGATTTTGTGTTTAATGAAAAATACAATTAGCATGCATTTGAGTGCTAGCAATGCAATTAGAATCTGAAAATGCGATAAATTAAATAAAGAGGTATTTTTTGGTGATTTTCTATGATTTAACATGCTCATAATAATATAAATAATGCAAAAATACAAACAAAGATTTTTTTTAAAAAAGTTTCAAGAAAAATCAAAATAATTGACAAAATATTTTTTGGATCTTTTAGGAGCAATTTCAGGTGAGGCAAAAATTACGTGTTCACAGTAACCTGTACATGCAACCTATCTTCCATATAATCAATCTGGTTTGTTAATGGTGTACCATATGTTAGAAAATACAACTAGGGATTGGTGTATCCTATTGTAATGACCCAACTGGTCGTTTTGAGTATTACAACCTCGTTTACTGCTCAATTTATACCTTACAGTTGATTTATGACTTATCGAGTGAGTTGGTTCGGGTCCGAAGAGATTTCAGAGTGGAATGAGACACTTAGTCTCACAATTAAAAACATAAGTTAAAAAAGTTGACCGGATATTCACTTATGTGTAAACGACCTCGAAATTTAATTCTAATAATTCCAATAGCTCCGTATGGTGATTTTAAATTTAGGAACGTGTCCAGAAAATTATTTAGAGGTCCGTAGTGGAATTAGATTTGAAATGGCGAAAGTCAAATTTTTGAGAAGATTGACCGGGGGGTTGACTTTTTGATATCGGGGTCAGAATCCAGTTTTAAAAATTTTCATAGCACTGTTATGTCATTTATGACTTGTGTGCAATATTTGAGGTCAATTGGACGTGATTTGATAGGTTCCGGTGTCGTTTGTAAAAATTAGAAGTTTCAAAGTTCATTAGGCTTGAATCTATGTGTGATTCGTGTTTTAGTGTTGTTAGATGTGATTTGAAGACACGACTAAGTTCGTATGATGTTTTAGGATTTGCTGGTATATTTGGTTGAGGTCCCGGGGGCCTCGGGTGAGTTTCGGACGGCTAACAGATCAATTTTGGACTTTGCATTCCAGGTGAAGAATGCTGGTTTTCTGTCACTCGTTTCCTTCTATGCGATCGTATGAGAAGGTCCGCGATCGCATAGGCTTGTTTGGGCAGAGGTGAAATTGCTCTATGCGATCGTGTGAAGGAAACCGCGATCGCGTACTCTTGTTGAGGCAGTGATTATTTTGTTCTTCGCGATCGCGTGAAGACGGCCGCGATCGCGTAGCTGTGGGAGTCTGTTATTCGCGAATGCGTGAAGAATGTCGCGTTCGCGTAGATTAATTAGAGCAGAAGTGGAGGTCACGCGTTTATGCTTCGCGATCGCGTGGATGAGTCCGCGATCGCGTAGGTCTGTGAAGTTGTGCATCGCGATCGCATGGTCAGGTCCGCGATCGCGTAAGGTTAGAACTGGTTAGGGGCAAATTGTACTTCGCGATCACGTAGAGCAAATGACTGGGCAGAGAGTTTAAGTTCTGAAAATGGGACGAATCCCATTTTCCAATTTTACCGATTTGGAGCTCGGAGAGAGAGAATTTTCGGGAGATTTTCAAGGAAAACAACGGGGTAAGTGTTCTTAACTTAATATTGGTTTATTACCCGAAACTATGGTTGTTTTTAACATTTAATTGGTGAATTAAATTGGAAAATTATGAAAACCCTCTTGATTTAATTTGAAGATTTGAGGGTCGAGTTGATGTCGGATTTGAGAAATATTTGTATGGTTGGACTCGTGGTTGAATGGACGTTCATATTTTGTAACTTTTGTTGGGTTCCGAGAAATGGGCCCTACGGGCGATTTTTTGAGTTAATTTCGGATTTTAATGGAAAATTTACATTTTCTTATGAAATTAATTCCAATAAATTTTATTGACTGAATCGAATTATTGTGGCTAGATACGAGGCACTTAGAGGACAATTCACGAGGCAAAGGCTTAGCGGAATAAGAATTTCATGATTTGAGATAAGTAATAGTTCTAAATCTGGTCTCGAGGGTATGAAACCCCAGATTATTGTATTATGTCAGTATTTTTGAGGTGACTCACATGCTAGGTGACGGGCGTGTGGGCATGCACTGTGGGAATGGGGACTTGGTCCATTCCGTGAAACTGGAAAGTTAAATAAGCTTGTCGTTAGCTTTGTGCCCTTTTTGTGCTCTAAATATTTGACAGTGAAACATGCTTAGGCTATGTGTTGGTGCTGTAAAGACCATAGAGGTCTTGTACATGTTGAATTATCTACTAAATTATTATTTTATACTCAGTCATATTTTACTTATTTATTTTATCCCAGTCTCTATTTTTCATTATTAATGCGTTATATTATTGTTATTTGGGCTGAGTATCATGACTTTTGAGAGCCCGAGAGACTGGAGAGATTTATGACTGAGTCCGAGGGCCTGATTGTGAGATATTATACTATAGCACTTGAGTTGCCTGTGCAACACATGAGTTATCCATGCGGATCCTTATATTATACTATAGCATGTGAGTTATCCGTGCAGATCCAGATATTATACTATAGTACGTGAGTTGTCCATGCAACACGTGAGTTATCCGTGCAGATCCAGATATTTATACTATGGCATGTGAGTTGTCCGTGCAGATTATAGGCTTGGGTTATAGGAGCCCCTCCGGAGTCTGTACACCCCAGTGAGCGCGGGTACCCATTGAGTGTGAGTGCTGAGGGCTGAGAGCCGAGTGGTTGAGCTGTTGTGACGAGTTGAGCAACTATTGCCCTGAGAGGCTGTACTTGCTTTTCATTTATTATTGCACTTAGTTGCTATCTATCATTGTTGTGAAATTCTCTGAAAGATTTTATATCCGGATTACATGAACTTGAACTATATAAAACTGATTTGACTTAAACTGCTGGAATTGAAAGTATGTCTACTCTCTGCTGGAATTACTGAAAATGAACTGTAACTGTGTAGCTCGTCACTATCTCCAGTTCCTTATTTATTATTGTTACTTGTTGAGTTGGTTGTACTCATACTATACCCTACACTTCGTGTGCAGATCCAGGTATTCCCGGACATAGCATGTGTTGATTCTTTCGCACAGTTAATTTTTCGGAGATTCAGAGGTAGCTGCTGTGTTTCGCAGACCTTGCCTGTCCTTCCCTATCTCAGTGGTTACTGTATTTGGTCTCAGACTATTATAGACCATATTTTCTAGACTTGTATTCATATTAGATGCTCATGTACTCAGTGACACAAAGTTTTGGGAGTGTTTGTATTGGTATTTGCGAGATTTGTGGATTGTGTTTAAATATTATATTTTCAAACTTAAAAGAAATTGTGATTTATTGAGATTGTCGGCTTGTCTAGTATCGAGATAGGCGCCATCACAACAAGTTAGAAGTTTGGGTTGACTGGTTGGTATCATAGCTTTAGGTAACATAGGTCTCACGAGTCATGAGCAGGTTTAGTAGAGTCTTGCGGATTGGTACGGAAATGTCTGTACTTATCTTCGAGAGGCTGCCGAAACCTTAGGAAGATTTCACTTTCTTGTATTCTATCGTGCGGAATTGATTCAGCTTGAAACATAACTCTTTGAATTCCTTCTGCGCATTCGTGTGCACATGTGAGCGCTCAGTATTAGATGTGTATCGTTGGCTTGTGATTCCATGAATGAGGTTCGAGATGTGTATTTTGTGTTTTAGTGATGGGAAAGTCTGGAAGACTTGAGGCCAGGGTTAGACCGCAGCTTAAGCTAGATAGCTTCAATTGTAATATGTACATTTTGACTCATATGTCCGGTAATGTCCCTACGAGTGGAATTTGTGGCTCGATGAGCGATGGAAGTGACTATATGATGAGTATGATGTGAATGGACATTTCTAATGTTGATGGCTCGAGAAAGATAATCTTCAAATAGGCTTAGAGTCGGTAACATTTTATTGGTTTAGGTGCGACAAAGATGCATTTTGATTCGATGCAACAGTTAGACAACAATGTATGAGGCAAGACATGACGAGAAGTGTTTCGTGGTGGTTGAAGTACTAGCATGTCAAGTAGGAGAAGTAGAGGTTGAGAAGTTGCTTAAGGAGATGATTAACCAAAGTAAGAGTGGCAGATTAGCATATAGATTCTGTGGTAGAGTAGTCGCGCGCCTTGAGAAAGTGTAGAACAGTTTGGAATCGCGATAGAATGTGATTTGGCTTACGGACTTTATTTGGAGTGATGGTTATTGTATGAAGAAAGATTGAATATGGCAGAAAGTAGTTTGTTTGAAATGAAGAGGGATGTGAAGATCTGATTATCGTTTCAGGCGCAATATGACTTGAGTTCGTAAGGTATTATTGAACTTTCAGTTGATATCAATAGGGAAAGTGCAGACTTATACAAATGGTGGGAGAGCATAAGCTTAGGAGAATTTACTGATTACGTGGTCGTTGCACCCAGTGCAACGTCGTTGGAAGATATTGGTAAGGAATTCCACAGGTGGATTATCTCTTGTGAGCAGTTAGCAGTGGCGTGATGTTGATGAAGCTCCTGCTAGGAATATTACTTGCTACCCGGTAAGAGGTCGAGTGTGTGACTGTGGCTGGTGATTCAGAATGTTCATGAAAAGCTTAACAAAAGACTTCGAGAAGTTTGGCGGGTTAACAGTGTGAGATCATGGTAATTGAGAAGGAGAAATCCTTGCGGGTTCTAA